TGTTATGATCTGAGCTGAAGATCAGTCTCAATTCTGAATGGTGTCTCAATTCTGACAAGTTATCGGTTTTTGCTTTTGTTTTATTTTCCTGGTGCCTAGAATTAGGTGGTATTTCGATAGCCCCGTATGAACAGAGAAAAAGCATTTGATTGTGTGAAGCTGTCAACGACATCAACAATTCCTAAGCGCCCAGTTCTTGACTTAGTACCATGACAAGGCACAGGTTGATATTATTTATATCCCTCTTTGCATATACACAGCTAGGTAGAGCCTTGTCTATTGACACCACCAGGAAGTACAAACAGTGGAGATGTCTTGGGCATGTCACCACTCCCAGTGCACTCAGTGAACTAGGCCTGTACTCTGAAGCACATGGATGGTGACATGTATCCTACTTCCGCCACTTCCAAGAGGAAAAGCAGTTTCTCCAGGAAGGCTGATAGGCCCTGGCAGGTTAAACCTTTAAAAACATTCTGTCTTTCAAGGGTTGGGAGTGACTATTGTTTACTGATGTGTTTGTACTTGGTCCTTCTCTCGAAGATTGAAGTAGTATATACCTTTAAGTGGGAATAAATAATTTATGATACTGCTTTGCATCTTGAAGGCCATGAGTTTAAAAAAAATCATTTAGATGGAATTCTTAGTTATGTGGGGTTTTTTTCCCAGAAATTTAACCAAAACATAAACCAAGTAACTAACCCTGGGAATCCAGATTGTTCTAGACCTGCTCCATCTCATGCAGTACCCATGAGCCACATGTGGGTGGCTATTTAATGAGTTAAAGTTGAGTAAAATTAAGTCTGTTTTTTTTTTTTTCATTTGCACTAGCCACATTTCAAGTGCTCAGTAAGCATACCCCAAGCTCTTGTTTTTCACAGCACAGGTAGAGAACATGCAATCATCACAGAGTAGTTCAATGCAACAGCAGTACACTGCAGAATGTTCCCTGGTCACACCTGATTGTGTAAATCCCTTCTCTGCTGGGTTAGCTTACTCCCTTCCATTTTGGTAAGGAAATCCACACCCAGCATCATGAAGCTACCTTACCTAGCAGCAAGAGTAACTCTGAACTCTTGAATGAATCCTATGCTCATAGCCATCAGTGCCCTCATTTAACTAAGACAAATACTTTTAAGAACCGATGATATATGAAGAAACGCATAGATTACATAAGGGAGAAGACAGGATGTAAGATTTTGTATCTAGTTTTGTGCATCTGGATCTTGGACATTTCTGAATCCTAGAAGTAATATTTCCTGTCTTTGCTTATGAATTATGTACATCTTCTACTCTAGCCCCAAATGTTTTTATGACTGGAAAAAAACAGTTTTTAGAAGGAAATTGTGTTTAGAAGTTAAAAAATGAGCCTTCCTTCAGGTTGAAATTTTGGGGTGATTCTTCTTGACTTTCCAGAGCAGTAGTTTAAGTAGAATGAGTTCATGTACAAATTTCTCCTTTCCAGCATTCTCAGAGGTCAAATGGCTTCTAAAGTGGAATGGGGCAAATCTTAGAACTGAATGTGGCCACTACCATTTACTGCTCATGTATATGTTTATGTGTGTGTTCTTATGCTATTGAAAATGCAGTATTCTCTCTCCACAGTGAGTTTTTTCCCTCTATTTCTTTGATCTCTCCAATAAGATCCAAACCAGCACCAGGTGGCTATTATTGACTGACTGACAAGTTGGCTGGCCTTACCACTCCTCTTAGCTTCTATGCCCATGAAATGTGTTAACATTTTGCTTTGCGTCCGAGAAGTAGAGTTTTTTTTCCAAATGTGTCACATGAAATCCAACCCTTGGAATACAGAAGCCATTCATCAGAAATTAAATTGGGTTTCCCTTGGGTCTGTGTGTGTTGTAATATCTTCATGGTGGAAGTATTAAATTTTTTTATTCGTTTTATGGAAATGTTAAAACTGATTTGAGTGGCCACAGCCATCCACATGGGCGCAGTTGGCGTCTCCAATAACTGGCAACTTGGAGTGAGGGATTTAATAAAGAGGATTTTCTTTTCTTGAGTTGGCTGTTAGGGTGATAAAACATGCTTGTGGGGGCATTCTGGTTTTGACAGTTTCCTGTGGCAGCCAAAATACCCAAAGGCAAAAATTACAGTCTACTTCTTCACTTGCTCAAAACCAGACTAGGAAAGGACACCCAGAATGTTGGGTTTAATTTTGAACCAAGTGAATTTTACCAAATTTTTATACTTATACACACTGCAACACCCAATATAGATGGAAGCCATGTGACATTTCTGCTCTTTCTGGAAAAAAAAAGTCGGAATGGAAAAATGAACTAGTTTTCACAAAACATCAATGAAATCTCTATCATTGTCCGTTAATGATTAATGTCGCTATGTGGGGAGTTGTAGGAATTTAGTGAAAAAATATCTACTGTTCTTGGAAGACTATATTACACCGTAAACTGCTATCAGGAAACTTAGGAGCAACACATGTGAGTGGAACCAGGGTTGTTCCAGATAACAGATATTATCTTTTTTTTTTCAGAGAGAAGCCCTACATGCTGACCTGTGATAGTGGTTCATAGTAATTATTTTTCCTGATCTTTATGCCCCATATTCATGTGCCGTGTTACCATGTACCCAAAGTCAAAATCAGTGCAAGAAACCACTTAAACATACAACTCTACATTCCAACTGCCTCGAGCTTGTTGTTCTTTTGAGCTCCCACTGGAGTAAATGAAGAAACCTGGATGTGTACCAATTTGTGTATGACCTCAAAGCCTTGCAGAAGAGGTTACCCAACTTGAATCTCCAAAGGGATAAGAGTGTTAGGGAACACTTTACTGAGGACCTGGAGTGTGCCGTGTGCTGCCTGTTATGTTCTGACATTTGTTAGAAGGATGTAGATATTGCCTTTTATACTGTTTATAGATCCTATTTGATTTTTAGCACTACATTGTTATTTTTTAAAAGCTTCACTTTTATTTAACAAAGTTGTCACGCAAATTGCTATCAAGCATATGATTTATAAGAATTACACAACAATATCCTCACACTATGTGATATGTAAACGTTAGTTCATTTAATCATCATTAAGGTTAATGAGATCGATGCATTTGCTACTATTGCACCTATTTTGCAAGTTAGAAAACCGAGTGACCAAGAAACTGAGTGTAACCATCTAGTTAGGAAGTGGTTGGAGCTAACAGTTGAACTTAGGAAATCTGCCTTCACTTGCTTTTCGCCACTGTTAAATTTCAAAAAAACATAAAGGCAAAAAAGAAAAAAATGAAAGGTGTACAGAAATAACCATAGACTTGGTGTCTTGCCATCTCTATCTTACATATAGGCTTCTGGTTAGTTGAGCCTAGTCTTTACGTTCATTTTGTTTTTAATTTTCTCCCTTTAATTGTGTAACAGTGTCTCTGTATTCTTAAAAACTCCTAAGCATTGTCTTAATGGCTGTCTATTGTCTGTGTCATGTAAGTACCATGCTATCATTGAACTGTCTCCTATGATTGTCCATTTAACCCTTTTGTGGTCTAATGTGGTCTCTAGGCAGCATTTCATATGTTCCTCAGAATATACGCTTAGGAAACCTTCTTAAGAAGTGTAACCCCAACTCCAGGAATCAGGGTACTGTTAAGTGTGTAGCGACAGGTTGTCCAGTTGCTTTCCAAATGCCTTGTATTCTGTTTGCTACAAGTTACAACTCTTGCTGGAAGGAAACACTGGAAAGGCAGCAAATGCTGGTCCGTGTGCCGGAGTCACTGCTACCCATCTGGGAGACCTAGATGAAATTCCACACTCCTGGCTCTGGCCTGGCCCAGCCCTAGCTGTTGGGCACATATGTGGAGTGAATTCTCAAGTGGAAGAGCTCTGTGTCTTATAAACTTTGAAAAAAGATAAGTAAAAAAAACTTTAAAAAATGAATATTTTTATCCAGTGACTCAATCTTCCCAGTAGTCCTGGGACGTGGACAATAACATTTGCAATTTCCAGTTAAGGAAATAGATGCCACCAAATGATAAATCCATTGACTTAAAGGAGCTGAGTATGGGGAAGGTATCTTGGATAGGACAGCAACAAAAACTGTTGAGTGAGACAAAATAGAAGATGACAGGTGAAATTAGGTTATGAAATTCTTGGTCTTTCTTTTCAGAGACTATTCTTTTTCTGTGTCATGGAAATCTTCCTTCAGATTTCTTTAAATTATTTATCCACTTTGAGTCTTCCCATTTGTCACAGTGGTCAGCAATAATAATAGCTGAGCAAATTGTAGTACATCCATCTTGTGATAGCATGCACCTGTTCCATGCAGTGAATAAATGGGTTCACGTTTACCCATTACAAAGAAGAATGGATGGGTCTAAGAACATTGTGCAAGTTCTTAACAATTGTGAGGACAGACTCTAGACTGAAACAAGTTAGGGGGAAAAAAGAATTTCAAATTTGGTGGGAGGAAGAAACGTCCCCTTCAGGCACATACAGTTCAGAGTTAAGTGCAGAACCCAACTGCTCAAGTACTAGGGCATGAAATAAAAACAACTTTAGCCTGTAAGCTTTGGAAATCCTTCAAAAGTAGAAGAACCCTCAAAGGTTTGGAAGACTTGACAAGAGACTTGAAAAGCTAAAAGCGGGAGACCAGAGCTTTAGGCTTGTTGGTAAAGCCATGACCTGTACTGCTGGGAATCCCATATGGGCACTAAATTGTGTCCCATCTACTCCATTTCTGATTCAGCTCCCTGCCTGGGAGATCTGGATGAAACTCCTGGCTTCGGGTTTTAGGCACAGCCCCAGTCATTGTAGTCATTTGGGAAGTAAACCAGTGGATGGAAGCACTCTCTCTCTCTCTCTGTCTCTGTCTGTCTGTCTGTCTGTCTGTCTCTCTCTCTCTCTCACACACACACACATACTTTCAAAAAAATATTTTAAACCAAAAGCTAAAGATGGTCTTGATAAACCAGGCTGAATGCGGTTCTCACTGGATGGGACCTGTGTCATGCCATAGCTCAGTACCATGTTGTGCCTTGCAGGGTTTTATGGACAGCTGCAAACCTTATGTCCTCCACACTACCCTGACTCACAGAGAACCGGGCCGCCCGTCAGCTCCTGCAGTGCAGTGCCTTCCTTCGAGGACTGCCTGGTCCCCACGTCCATGGGCCAGGCTGGTTTCGATGTTTTCCACAGAGCCTTCTCAACTCATTCGGGCATTACAGGTGTGTTAGATGACGATGACTTGGGAACTCGGGCCAGCTGGCAGGAGGGACAGACGCAGATAGATTTCCTGTGGTTGGACCCAGCACCTGACCTCCCCAGATGCTCTTGAACCACCCCCAAAAACTCTCATCACCTTTTCTCAACCCACCTCTACCACCCTAGTTCAGGTGCTATTGCTCCTAGACCATGACCTTCCAGTAAGCTGCTTGCTGCAATCCTGCTTCCTGCAATCCATTCTGGCATGAGCGTGTGCTTGGGAAAACGAAGGATGGCGTCCATCCTTTTGCTGCTCAGATATCTCAAGTAGTTTCCATGCATTCATGGTCCCCTGCATGTGACATCTCATCCAACTCCACAGAGCTGCTCTTGCAGAGTTTTCTCCTCGCTTGGTCCTCACCTGAGCTTTCACAGAGCCCTCTGGCTCTGTCTGGCTCTTGGCTCTGGTTCCTCCTTCTGGAATGTTCTTGGCCTACTCCTCCTGTGACAGTCTCCTCCTTCTCTTTGTGACTCCATCTTTGACATGATCTCCTTCTGGAGGTCACACTGACCCCTCCGCAGAACACTTTTCCTCTTCTACTTCTGCTGAGCCTGTAGTTTACACTGAGTTTGATTTTTAGCCAGCTTCCCACAAGTAAGCCTCCCACCCCACTGGAAGTGCCTGAACACAGAAACCACCTGAAGGATAAGGCTACCCCTTAGTCCCCCAGGGAGTGAGGGGTGTGTATGTGTGTGGGGGGGTGTCCCTGCAGAATCACATCACTACCCAATGCACGGAGTGGGTGTGGCATGCCTGGAGTTAACAGACATTCTGTGTGTTCCTTGTAGTGTATGATTTGCCGTCGGCTTCTTCGAGTCTCTTCGGAGAGTCACTCCGCAGCGGGCCTGAAGACGCCACGTTCTTGCAGATTAGTACTGTGGACCGCTGCCCTAGCCAGCTGTCCTCCATCTACACTGAAGGCTAGAGGTGCTCCCGGCCTCTGCTGCTCCTCCAGAACCTTTTGGAGGCTTGCTGCCTTTTGTCTTCATCTTCTCACCGACTGCGTGGAAAAACAAAAAAAAGAAGGATGCCAGTGAAGCCAGCGGAAGCTGCAGAAACACGGGGCCGTGCCTTGGAAAGGCAGGACTGGATGGGCAGAGCTGGCTTCCAGGAGATGTTTCTGGTTGCTCTTCTCTCGTGGGGTTCCCTGGGCCCGGTGACCCACACAACTACCTTTGCAAAGGGAATTGAGAGTCTCACTCTACCAGATACCTGTTACTTCCTGGCTTGTCAGCCGTCTAAAGACCCCAAGGAAAATGATATGCATGTGGTTGTGTAGGTTAGGGTATGACACTTGCTGCCTGCTCCTGCTAGAGGAGGTCAACCCAGTGAGCAAAAGCCACTGAGCTTCCTTAATCTGCTCTGCCTCCCTGCTGGGCAACACCAGGCCAAGCACGATGAAGGAGGTGCATGCCTAAAGCTCAGTGTGGTCTCGACTCATGGAAATGCCCTGGGTTATTCTCTCAAATATCCCAATGCTAACGAGTTGTCTCTCATTCTTTCTCCAACAGTCCAAGAAGGTTTTATATTCCAGCAACCTTGCCTTGGGTTTGCATCTTCAAGACCAGATCTGTATTTAGGAGTCTGTTTTGAGGGATTGGAAATCCTTGATACTTTCATCTTCTCAGCTCCATTCATTTGGCTACAACTGTCACTCTGTCTGGCCCTACCCCTGGAGTGTTCACTTGGCACTGAGCAGAAGCTACATGAGGGAAGTGAGGTGGTACCCCCCCATACACTCGCAACAGTGTTGTTGTGCGAACCTCCATGGCCAGGTTGTTCAGTGATTCCACTCAGAAGACCTTGTAAGGAAAGGATTGTTGAACTGTTCCACTCATAATCTCCATGCTGGGGCTCCACCTGAGACGGGCCAGCAGGTGCAAGAACAGACACTTACCCTGAGTCCTTGTGCCTGGCTTGCCTCAGAACATCATGTCCTTCAAACAGCCTCTACTCACCTCATTCAGGAAACCCACTCCTCTGCCTCTTTTTTCTTTTGCGGTTATCTTACTTCCTTCTTGACTGTGGTTCAGACATGCATGCTACCTGCCATTTGTCTGACCAATCTGCCATTTGTCTGACCAATGCCTCTTGGGAAGGTAGGAGGGTATCATTGCAAAAGTTAGGCAAAGCAAGACTTGGTTACTGTCTGTCAAGCCCGAGTAGAATGTTAACTTCTGTGACACCTTTATAAAACTATGGAAGGCATTCCAGCTATAAAAACAAGCCAAAACACTATAAAGATTTGATAAGGTCTGTCATTCTGGGACCATCCCATTTCAGGGTTTCTTTTCTATCTTTTAAGAGCTGTTTGGGGAACGAAAGTGAAATAGCGCTCATTGCCAAACGGAGCTCATTGCTGTCTTCCATCACACACTCAGACAGCTTGATGTCAGACCTGGGATCCTCTCACTGCATCCTGATCGGCCTTTCCAGGCTAGCTGCACACTCTGCTGTATCCTCCTTGGTTCCAGATTTCATTCAGTAAATAGAATGAGATGATGAATAAAGAATCGAGTGTGGGTTTCGACGGTCCCACATGCCTGACCAATCTAGAGCTGGTAGGCCGTCTTTTAAAACAAACTAAACAAACCAAAACAATAACAAAAACCTGTCATGCAAGCCTGAAAAAAAGAGAGAGAGAGAGAGATCTGCTTAGTTTTTCAAAAAGAAGCACAATGAAGCTTCCTGGACAAGGAGCATTCAGACCACGCATAAAATGCCACGCTCCTTGCAGAATTCGTAGATTGCCTGGCCTACACAAGGCCATGTGTGGGCCAGCACTCTCTTGAGTAAGTAGCATTCCTCCAGTGTCCTCAGCCACCACTCCAGGGGATAAAAACCACCACCATAGGTTCTTTAGAGAGACCATTGATGCCTGGAAGTGGCTGTGTATCCCTTACAATAGAAAGGAAGGAGGAGGACGAAGCAGGAAATGAAACCCTGGAAAACATGCATCTCCTCTCATCTTTAGGGAGAGAGGAGATGGCGTCTGTCCTGTGTAATTTCAGTTTTGCTCCTATTTTCCCTGGCCTGGGCAGGAGGGACCAAGGATGGGCCAAGCAGTCGCAGTAGCCCCTGTAAAGCCTTCTGCCTCATCAGTATCCAGCCCCGGCCCCTCCAGGAGAATCCAGATGTTGCCCCGTGCACCTGCTCATATTGGTCCTCTGTGTTTTCCCTGAGGTCTCCACATTTGATATTAGGGACTCAAGGCAGGACACAGGCAGGTCCCCTCCGGACGACACCTTCTACCTACATTCCCACACTCCTTGTGGCCTTAAATGTTGTGCCTTTTCTGGCTTTTGCACAGTGAAAGATTTGTATATGCTCCTATTATTATTTTTGAAACAGTAAAGATAGAAACTTCAAAAAAAAAAAAAAAGCTCTTTCCCTTCCATTTCCTGGCCTTTTTTCATCTTGATATGTGTAACCATTCTCATGAACCTCTGAATACAGATTGTCATTGCCCTTGGTTCCGCAACACCAGTGACAAATGCAAACCAAGCAGAACGCTGATGCTTGTGAAAACACACAGCCCAAAGCCAGTTACCCTCTTACAGTGAAAAATAAATGAATAAATCAATGCGTCCAGAGACGCAGCATTGTCTCAGTTCCCTAAAAGGGCTGCCTCAAACCACCCGTTGTCGTTTATCCTCTGATCAGCTGTTAAATATTATTTATTTAGTGATCTTGTGGGGGCTATCTCCCTTTTTTTTTTTTTTTAAAGATTTATTTTTATTATTTTTTATTGGAAAGGCGGATATACAGAGAGGAGAGACAGAGAGGAAGATCTTCCATCCGATGATTCACTCCCCAAGTGAGCCGCAACGGGCCGATACTATGCCGATCCGAAGCCAGGAGCCTCTTCCGGGTCTCCCACGCGGGTGCAGGGTCCCAAAGCTTTGGGCTGTCCTCAACTGCTTTCCCAGGCCACAGGCAGGGAGCTGGAAGGGAAGCGGGGCTGCCGGGATTAGAACCGGCGCCCATATGGGATCCCGGGCGTGCAAGGCGAGGACCTTAACCACTTGCGCCACCGCGCCGGGCCCATATCTCCCTTTTTTTTACGTGTACCTCCCCACAAATTACAGAAGTGACTCTAGAACGGAAAAGGAGGGCTTTGTGGTACATCATGGCCTGGCTTCCACTGATAACAGAATATTGGTTCTGGTTGGTGGTTTTCAAAGTCCCAGCTGTCCCCACGGAAGACAGTTTTGTGTGAGAACAGCTCTTCCCTCCCTTAGCCGAGAACCTCGGCTTTCCAATGGCCGTGGGATATCGGGATCGCTGACTGTAAATGTTCAATTTAATTCCTTGATATTTTATTTGACTGCTTTTGTCCGTATCGTTTTAGAGCAGCATCTTTTTCAATGGCACTTTTTGTTAGCGATATGGAATTTCTGTGGTTATATTATTTTTTTTTCTTTTTGCCACGGATAGAGGGGGAAAAAACACTCGTTGGAGAAATGTTGAGTGTAAAGAAGAAGAGATTTATTTTGTACAGACAGCAAAGCATCCTGTGTAATGTTGCTGACATAGAGCACTTTGGGGGAAAAAGTGGAAATGTGTTTCCCATAATTCACAGAGACTCTTGTTCATAGTTCTATATGCTCACGTAAAGAAATGAACTGCATATGTCATCCTGGATATGGGGCCGGCTTTACTCCAGAGGCACATCTGGTACTTATTGTCATAAATCTTTTAAAGAATTAGGTACACTTTTTTTCTATTAATATGTATAGTTTTGTGATTTGTCACAGTTATGTTTCATATAATCATAAGTTATTTTGTCCTGTTTCATGAAGTCCTTTTTTATGTCAAAAGTAAAATGAAGGTATTGTGCGCTTTGTATAGGAAAAAAAAAACTGGAAATACAGGAGGCACCTCTGGCCCAAGATCCTCCTCCTGCATGTGGCTTAAAAAAAAAAAATAGCCAGGCCCCATTGTTTGTTTGTTTGTTTTATGCTTTGGTTTTGTTTTGCCATCAGCCTCCTGTGTAGTGGGAATGGTAATTATAATTAAAAGCAGGCTGGGGGGTTGGGGATGGAGGGGCAGTGTCCGAGGCCAGCTTTAAAATGCCGCATTGCATTGCTCTGGGCCAGAGCTGCAGCCTGGATTTAATTATAGATATGAGGACGAAATGGCAGCAAAAATGAATGTCCCCTGAATCCTTTACATGTTGGGAGTGTCCATAAATAAAACATGAAGTTTTATTTCATCAGATTTAATTAAAGCTTTTATACATGTTTTATTGGTTATTCTATTAATCTACTTCACAAACCGGAGAACTGTGTGCTCGGCTTTGGGGTTTACATGTGCTTTTGCAATGTTAGTGCTACGTCATGCTTCAGAAATGCCTCTCGTGCTTGGTACCCCAGGTGCGGGGGCTCCAGCCTGGTGGGGGTGCGGGCCTCTGCAGCCCTGTTTTGCTCTAAAACTTTGCAGAAAGAGAAACAGCTGCAGCTTCCTGAAGATTGAGTCCTTGCCCTTGGCCAGCCTGACAAGGAGAACAAGGGAAGGATGTTGGGACTTCTGTCCCGGGTCTCTCTCGTTTGTCCTGTCCTCTCTGCCGGCTCTTAAGGGTCATCCGACCCCTTGGTTGTCACAAGCTGTTCGCCAGGATTCCCATCCCTGGGCGAGAGGGTGGGCAGGCTTATCCTCGCACCCGACTCCACTGTAAGCCAAGAGCATGCATGTGAGAGATGCTACAGTCAAGGGTGATTCTTCAGAGTCAAAACTTCCTGTATACACTTGGACAACGATTTAAGATGTGAAGTGGAGACAAGTCCCCAAGCACAAGAGACCAGGCACTTACTCGGGTGGCTCAAGGTCAGAGCAGGCATGCCATTTGGCTCAAGGTTGTGGAGATGGAAACAAGGCTGAGTAGCAAAACACACAGCTCTTCAAATGACTAAAAGGGGGCTGCTCATGGGGATGTGGTATGGTTCCAGCTCATGGGAGGGCAGCTGAGCAGGAAAGAGTGACGCTGAAGGGATGCAGAAGTGTGGCC